CGATAACTTACTAGTATCAGACCCAAACCGCAGGTGTTCTTCCTGGAAATTTTGAGTTTGGAATTGCCCACGTGTCGCAAAGTGTGCATAGTCAGGTCATTTTCCTTTACGTATAGCATTTCTTGTTTCCCTAAAACCTCAGTGGTTGCCAGCAATTTTAATGTCGGAAATAATTAATAGATGGTAGGGGACTAATTTCAATAATTATCTACTTTACCAGACCAGTTTTTCTCACATTAGATGCTATGTTAGCTTAGTACTAATGAGTGGTTGAATGTAGCTCAATTTTAATTAATAGTGAAATGTATAACATTTGTATTTAATGGGCCGGTACTTTCGTATTAGGTGTATTCATTAGAAAGCTTTGTTAAACAGCAAATGACATGCGCTACAGTTTTTCGGAACTAGCTTTTAATTGTCCTGAAAATCAAGCAATGGAAGTGGGTGAAACGACGATGATTAACTTCATCTGTTAACAGTATTACAAAAGTTGATGTTTTTGGTCGTTTTTGTGGCCACCACTAATAAGTTGTGCCATTCGTACTTGCCCTAAATCGCCCTTTTCGCTATGAGGGCTTTGCAGAACCACAGGGTCCGTAGGCAACTTTCGAGTTTCTCATTATGCCCTTATTAGTGTCAATGAGATATAAACCGTGGCATCTAGTAACCGCATTACAATGTATTCTGACAAAATAAGCAATAAAAACTAGTATTAATATTCATAAAATATCAAATAAAATTCTATTTATAATGTATGTAAAATTATGCAGTTGAAGTGAAATTTTCGCTCTGTTACTTACATCAAACATTCGTCCAGTCTCACTCGTTTCTGAATTAATTTTCTATCGTTAATTTTAAAATAAATTAATTCTAAATCAGAATTCTTCCGTGAGATACTGTCACGTGTGATTGAGTGGTCGATAAATAATCCGAGATTTAAGAAAATATATTTCCGGGAAGAGGTATGTAGGCAGCACAAATTTGTACCGGAATGTAAAAAATTCGTGGCGGCAACAAATTTTAAGTAAAACCGGGTTGATATTATAACATAAAATTTGTTACTACCAAAATTGTCATGTTGGATTATATATTTGAGGCATTTTCGTGAAGCAGTTGCGATCAATTTTGTGTAGCAATTTTGATAAAAATATGAATTTAGTTGTCTGTCGGTGGTTCCGCACCTACAGGGTCGGAAAGTCCCCATGGTTCATCGGCCGATACGTGAGAGCGATAAAGAAAGTCATAGAAATCCCTTCCACAAATAAGATCCACTCCCTATTTGTGGAAGGGCGAAATGGGCGGTGACTATTAGACGCTTTCATTATAGCCATCTTTCTCTATCGCACGGATTTCTATGACTTTCTTTATGGCTCTCACGTAACGGCCGATGAACCATGGGGACTTTCCGACCCTGTATATGCAGGAACGGTTTTAGAGTAATAAAAAACTTGTAGAGAATCCTTCGTACACATTGAACAAACACATATAACACTAAGAACTCTCAAACCGCTTGCGAATTGTACCTTCTCGGGTCGTTCAAAATAGTTCACAGCTTTCATATTCCTGCGACAATGTGAGCAAGCTCCGGCCAGAAAGACCATTACAATCGAACTTGACCCTGATCCGCCGTCAACTGTGGGAAAGTCGCGGAATCGAATGCGGTCCATTGAACTGATTTATCTCAAATTGACACCTATTAAAAGCCATTAAAGGATATTTACCGATCGCATAGTTCAGTCCCGGCTAATGGACTCGACAAAAGTTTTCTCACAGTTTGCATGCGGTCGTATGGGAAACCGGAGTGTTTCGCATTTTAAAGTTCTCATTTTCAAGGTCTTGACGGACGCGATACATTTTAACAAAATAGTAACTACCGGTTTTAAGGTATTATTGGACGTACAATGGCCACAGTTATTTAGTACAAGTTAGTACTAAATAGTTATTATAGTTATTTAGTTATTTTAGTATAATTTTACATTCTTCAAAAAATATTAGTGAAGAAATGAAAATTTTAAAATAAAATATCTTATTTTTACTATAATTATTTTTAAGATAACTCTAAGAAATTTGATATGGACGGTTTTTGTTGCAGTTTTATAGATGAAATTATGTTGGCAACTGCATTTGTAATAAAAAAAGTTAATTTGTGAACTTACTATTAGAAAAAATAATTTCCTACAAATTGGTATAGTCCATATTGTTGTGGAATTATATTTACCGTTGGCATCTCTGACATCGTGGCCCCACGTTAAGCGCCAAGTCTTGGAATATAATTGGTTGTAATTAGGATCTTCGTGGCAGGCTTCGCCTATTTAAAGAGTCACGTGACACGTGACCTAACAAAGCCCCTCCATATCTTTTTAACCGTTGAAAATATCGAAAAACTAACTCTGGCGTCCCACTAGCATTTCATTCGAGGATTCCAGCAAACCAAACCGCACCCTTCTAGGTCAAGAAATAAAAATGTTACGGGCTGTTCGCCTATTTAAAGAGTCAGGTGACTTAAAATGTGACCTAACAAAGCCCCTCCATATCTTTTTAACCGTTGAAAATATCGAAAAACTAACTCTGGCGTCCCTCTAGCATTTCGTTCGAGGATTCCAGCAAACCAAACCGCACCCTTCTAGGTCGAAAAATAAAAAATTTACGGGCTGTTCGCCAATTTCAAAAGTCACGTGACTTAAAACGTGACCTAACAAAGCCCCTCCATATCTTTTTAACCGTTGAAAATATCGAAAAATTAACTCCATATCCACGAAAATTGAATAATTCCAAATATTTCGAATTTTTATCACCAAGAACGGCGGTGACTCATTTTCTCATTTCTCATTTTTACATTTTTTAAATTTATAATTGAAATTAAAAATGTCTATACAGTGCACAAAAATTTGAAGCGTAGTGTGTACTGGCCAGGCATCCGTCTTTGGTTAATAAGCTACAGGGCACCCAAGTTGACGTTCGAACACACTCCAGGCTGGCGTCGTAGGGGAATTTCGGGAAAATTTTGAAGCAAGGGTGGAATTTTTTTTCACGCCACACGTAACTGCAACGTCACACTTTATAATACGTGTAAATAAATTCCAATCTAGTGATATAGAAATGAACGCAAATGTACGATTAAAGGATATTCCTAATGTAAATAAACGTGCAGCGAAATTGGATTTTAAGCCGAAATTTGCAATTAATTCTATAAATCCCCAATTCAAGGAAAGAAGTACTAATTTCGCTTAAAACCATTAGTAGCTACTTCTTCATCTAAAAATAAACAATTTCTGACGCAGTAAGTCCCCTTATCTCGATAGATTTCGCAATGAAACCGATAAGGATACACCGTACACACAAAAACAATCTAGGAACGGCTCGAACGCGACGTACTCTCAGTCGAAAACGCTCGGTTTCAACATTCCGGAGATAATAGCTATCTCTTACTTCCGCCTTATCGCCTCGGCCATCTCGCCTCAGGTAAGGTCGATTGTTTGCGGCATAAACACCATTACGAAACGTTAATTAGCGGTTATCTTCCTGCACGCATCAATGCAGGACGGAGCGCGGGACAAGCGACGCTTCCTCCGTGATAAGCCGGTTTTTTTTCCGTTGCCGGAAGTTTGGCCCGGTGGCCGACGCTGTTTTAGATACTCCAGCGAAACTAGAACGAGATTAATTGAGTAGCATGGAAAAAGCTGTTATTATCTTCGATGTTTTTCTTTAAATCAGTATTAACTGGGTTAGGAAAGGAACTTCTAAACGAAAACGAATTCATATAAGAAAAAATGTTTGAAATAAATTCAGTTGCCATCAAGGTCTGTTGTAGACCTGTAGAACACCTTGTATTAGAAACAAAAGGCCAGACTGTCAACATCTGCGTACAGCTCTCGTCGATCTATCGTCATGAAAGTGAACGAACCAATTGTTCGCCTCACTGCAATCACAGCCGACCACTATCGACAGTTGTTGATTCATGGGTACCTGCAGGGAGACAAAGAACAATAACAGTGCTGGAATGCGTATTGTAGATTTTATTTCACCGTGCGCTATCAGTTTGCTAGCTTTTACTGGAATCGCCAGTCACCGCTTTTAGATCGAAGCAAGAAAGCAGCGATTTGTTATTATTTTTAAGGTAAATGATAATGTCCAATCCCCGTTGACCTCGGAAAAAGTAGGAAGAACCTTTGTTTATGTCTATTGTTATTAAAATGCCACAGAACATTGGAAACTGTTTATTGTCAGCTGCAAATTGTCTTTTTTTTTTAATAGGCTATAATATAAATGTGTAAATTAAACTTTTAATTGCTTTTCTTACATCTCAATGATGGTAAATGAGATTGGCTAATCCGTCTCGTATTGCTATGCGGAGTCACGAGAGGACGGCATAGGGTTGTTTGTAAGTTTAGTCTCAAAGTTATTTAGACAATTGTAAAAATCAGTCAATTAGATAACGATTAACATGGCATAGTTATGCCAAAGCTTCCCGATATTCAGGATTCCCGCCAGTAAGATAAGAACATAAACGTCTGGACCCAAGAAATGGGCGTGTCGAAGCGAGGTGTCGAATTCAGGAGAGATCTCCGAAAAAACAGGCAGTTTTTCCTTGGGTTCCACATTGAGAGGTCTACTTAGTTTTATAGTCTTTGGGTAATTTAATAATGGATAAAGTCATTCCAAATTTTGCTATAGATATGAAGCAAAATGTCCATAAAATTTAATAGGAGATTAATAAAATAAACAAGGGCATATAGAACTGGTTTCCTTCCTGGAATTTTATCCTCACTTTTACCTCTCAGTTAATCCCATTTAGGCACCCTTCGGAAATATCACGTTACACCCCCCAGGCCCAAACATCCATACACCCCTCCGTCTTTCGGCTACGGCACCCGGATACCTAGGCTCGCGTTCCGTCGCCCGATGCCACCATGCTGGGGCCTCTCGTTCCTCGGCCCCGATCACTGCCTGCTAAAGCTCGATCTACCAGAGTTCACTTCAGTTCTTCGTCGCGCTCGGACCCAGTGCTACGCGTGGAGTGGCAAGGACGCCAGATCCGACATTGTTTGCTGCCAGATAACGCTCCTAATCTCCCTCTAACCTCAAAATGAGTGCTCCGGAATCGTTGCTAGCGGCATAGTGTACGCGTCGCTTATCCAGTGCTTGTGCTTTCGAAGTTTCTGTAGTTTCCCAGTGTTTTGTGTACATAAACTCGCAGCAGAGGAATCGGAAGAAACGCATAATGGTTCTCCTAGCTAAGCATGGTCAGTTCATTTGAATAAATTAGTGCTAGTTGAACTTGTTAAGGCCTCGTAGGATGTAATTTATTTACTGCTGCGATATAATCCAGCAACTCGACGTTTCTAAGGAAAGTTCGCTGATCCGGCAAAGTTTTTTTGTATGACTCGGGAGTTTGTTTGTTTGGGGTGAGGCGATATCAGTCATTTTTCTAAAGGTCGGTGGTAGACAGACTGTCTAGACTGTTTGTTGTTTTTGAGCAATCTGATTAGATCGGAAAGCACAGCTATGAAGGGTAGTTCATAACATTACGAAATGTTCGAGACAGTAAAATGCTTGTTTTTATCTACTGAAGTATATAAACGGTAAATTTACATTAAATTCGATTCCAAATAGAGTACCGTTTTACCTAAAGTAGGTATAGGAATTGCTGCTCTAAAATTAAAGAAACAGAAACTAACTTTTTAAAAGAATTTGATAAAAATACACTAAATTTGATATTAATAAAAAAAAATCACATATGCGATTTGGTACATTGTTCTTTAAATCCACAGCGGTTATAAAATTTTTAACTAAAATTTCTATATCGAGCATATCGATTAACAGTTTTGAAGTGGTGTAACGCAGTGGACTGCAATTAATTTTTACAAATTATTTATTCAAATGACTTAATCCTCTCTCCAACTAACAAACAACGTAATTTATCTGCGCCTCTCCTTGATCCACCAACGACCCTTCGTCATACTACTCGTCGTTATCTGTTTACATTTCTCTCCGATAACAGGAAAAAAAAACAGCCTTATCCAGACTTGTTGGTTTTGATTCTCACGTAGGCAGTAGTACATTGCGTAAAAGTGATGATAAAATCAATTGAATGTTTGATTATTCAACATGTATTCAACACGTAGGTATTTTCGCGAAATCTGTCATTTGCACATGTAAAAAAACCGTTTGTTAGCAACCAAAGCCGATAATACTTTTAAAAATAATTGTCAAAGTTCAAATAGCGCAACTAATTTTGTGGACAGAATGAATTCATATGAAAAAAGTGAAACCTCATTGTTAGTCAGTTATTTTTATATTTATCATTAACATACATACTTATGCAAAATGACGACTTATATCTTAATTTCTAAATATACAGAGATTTGATAACTGTCTTCGTTCCACTTATGTTAAGTATAAAGTGCAACTTTTGTCGCAACATTTGCTTTCGTATTTTTAAATGTTAAATGTTTTTATTATACATCTTTCCGCAGATTTCCTTAATAACTAACCGTTACCGTTATTTGTCGATTTTTAATAAACTGCTTATTTGTATGTCAGCTATGTTTTATAGCATAATTAAATCGAGTTTTTTACGGCTTGTCTTCTGGTTTCAACATTCCTCGCAGTGATTATTATTTCGAAAATTTGCATCGCAAATTTTCCACCGCTCATAAGTTATTAAATATTTTTCTCGTAGGTCAGGTCATGAATATTAACGTTTACGATTTGCGCTTCCAATTGTTAAATGGACGAACTTTATCCTCGGTATTATCTTCTTATCTCTGTCTCATTAAATGTGTTCTGGATTAACGTGATTCATGAAATAATACGCAGTATGTAAGTTACGAAATAATCCCCATAAAGATCGTAATGTCTTATCCTTTCTGTAACAGGTATCCCGGATTGTTACAGTATGCTTTTCAGCAGCTTAATTGTACTTAGTATAAGTTTTTATTGTTTGTTTATTTTACTAAAGTTCAGGATACAATCTTGTAAAGTGGTGAGACGATTCGACATTTTTTTTTCGACTTTACTAATAATGAATGGCGCCAAGCCTCGCGCGACATACATTTTGATTGATAATGATGAACTCTGGGTCGAGCAGTTTACACAGTCTTTATTCATTACTCGCGATAAATTAAAAGAAAGTACTGGTTAAAATTTATATTTATCTCCGAAAGAAAGCTGTTAATGTGACAGAGGATTAATAATTACTAAATATGTGCCTTTTTTAAACAATTATTTTTTGAACAGACCTGGTACATGGTAATTCAATAATAATCTCGTTATACCAGTAACCTCTATGTTCCAAACGAATATTAACATTATACTAACATGACCGTGAGCCTTTCCTGCGCCAATTTCGAAATAACTGTCGCTGTCGCTTTCTCCACACAAATTTTGTTCCGCCCTCGTCGAATTTCCTGGGCTTAGGACCCTACTGTACTTGGTGGCACATGTTCCGCAACGCGAAGGCGTTTGTTTTGAATGCGTCATCACATGTTTGAGTCTCATGGGTTTTTGTGGCTGTAACCGTGAAAAAACCATACATCTGGTTATAATTCCTCGCAAAAAATGGTGTCAGGGTATCAGGCGTATGTTTATCGAAAGTAGCGCGTCGCTAGGATAAAGGTCGAACGCTCGGATCGGATATGGATGTACAGGGCGATACCTGAAAAGTGTAGATACCAAAAATAATAAGTTTAGGTTATAAATGTTGACTGATTTGTTAATTTATCATTACATTCATTTTTAGCCGCCGTTTTTAAAACAGGAGTTAAGGAAGATTCTATTTATATTGCTAGGGGGCCAGTTCATCGCTCTCGTTTACGTAACTTCAGTTTACGACGCAAAAAAGAAAACATAAATTAATCTCAACTTGTTTTTCTAATAACTACCATAACTTGCTGCATCGCCACTTAGCTATTACCATCGCCGTTTCGGAGTTATTGCCCTCCTCATCGACGCTTTTTCCTTTCCCCTCGGCTAATCGCCACTTTACCGCCGTAAATAATCCAATTAAATTAACTGTCGATTTGTTTGATCTTTTAATATGTCCCCGTAAGAGCTCATTTGAATAAAATCATGTCCAGTTTATGGCCATCGTTTAGTAACATATCGCGCCGATTTTCTTGGATATTCTAAGAGCCTGAGGCAATAAATTCTTAATAACTAGTCCGATTCAAATGGCCTCGGCCTCAAAAAGCCAACGCAATGCTTGTTTTACTCGCGGTTATTAAAAGCGGTGCTCCGTAAGCTTCTTAAGTTTTTTTTTTCGGGTAATAATTAAGTGAGGATGTTTTTATGGGTGCGTAATAGGAAAGCCAGGTCCCCCGGGGAGCCTTGTGGTTTATAATTTTTAATAAGTATCTTCGATTTGCTCCGGATAACCCAATTACCTCGATACGTAGGTACAAACTTGTTTTTGGAAAAGGCCAATTAATTTTTTTTAATTGCACGAAAATAATACGCTGCTCGATCACTGGTATACGTGTTTTTGTGGAAATAACTGAAAATTCCCATTACCGAATTTTTTTTAAACAAAAACCGATTCAGGAAGTTTCTTATTTTCAGCTGCAATTAATGGTAATTTCGTCACGTTGGCCTTGTAGGAAATGTGGACGTAGGTATATTTATTTTTTCAAGTAAAATGTTAATTTGCTTGATAAATTGTGCTTTTAATTCCATTAAATATTGGCATTGGTTCCAAAAGATAAACAATACTCGCCTTCTTGTACTTCCTGGTGGTTCCAAATATAAATGATATTCCACGGTATAATAAAATCTAGTTCTTCTTTGGGACAACGGTTTAATTGTATAATTCAATTTTTTCGTACCCAATTAAAAAGAGTAAAAACGAAAGTACGTTTTGAATCGGGTCATATTTTTATGACAAAAACGTTTCAAGCAAAATTTATAGGATTTCAAATGACAAATTAGATGATGGCCTTGGGATCAACTTTTTCATTTCTAGTAATATTTTAAAGCCAAAAAGCCAAAAATCTCCAATATACAATTCACCCAAACATGGATTCTTTGAAGCAGATACCGTCTGGACTATATGGAATTGTTAGAATAACCTAAAATATAATGATAATGATATAAAATATATTCGTTTCATTTTTAAGTTGTGGTCGCAATAATTCACGTCTAATTTGCGCTCTATAGAAAGTAGCCGAAAAAAGGTCAGCAGGCGTTATTTAAAGCACACAAATTCTTCCACTGGGTCCTTGAGTGGGTTTTGCGGGGGTGGACGTAACGCCACTGCTTAACAGATCAAAGCGAGAATAACTTCTTGATTTCACTTCAAAGCGCAAGAACGACCGCTTTGTACCAGCCAGACAACATCCTCACTAATTCAAATCACATTAAAGTTTACACCGGTAAAAAAAGAAGCGAAAAACACCCCCTCGCGTCAAATCTGACGGCGTTGTCAACCTTTGGAGACACAAATGTCTCTGGAATGAAAATATATATCTGGCTGGGGCAGTCACTGCCGTATTATCTAATTTAGTGTCATTATTAGCTCTTAACTTTGTTAGCGTTATTAGTTTATGTTTCCTTTGTGTCACACGTGCCAATTACAATAAATTTTAATAAACAAATAGGGGGCGCGGTTTGCGAGGTTATTTTAATTATGCAAATGGCGAAAGAAGAGCAATGCAACATAAAAGTGATTGGTAGATGAAGAAGACGGAAAATAATTAATTCGTGCAATGTATAAGATATTGGGTGGATAAAAAAAGGACACTGCTATAAATTGTGGTTCTATCGTATTTTGTATATAAGATACAGGGGGACAAGTATGGTTTTTTAAAATTAATATTTAACTATATATTTTCCAAAAGTGTATTGAAATAAAATTTGGTAAGTTCCTGAAGGTGCTCGGCATGTTAGTTTTTATTGGTGACCATCTGGTAGAGGCTGTTAGCTACGAACTTTCTCAGTTGCATTTAAAGATGTAACTTTCTTTAGACTAGGTCAAAAACTAACAACACTCACTCTTGTACAAACAAAAGACTCTATGACCATAGTCTGTATAAAAAAAGAGGTCCTGTTCGATGTTCTATCACCTCCTGAATTAATTATACTTTTCCCTAAAATACTCTGTACATTATACATTACACAAATGGATTATTACGGTATTTTTTTCCAAAACCCCCATATACAACTATTTTTGTTTATTTTCGTCGGGAGTTTCAGCTACGACTCTGATTCTGTTTTCTCTTTTGTAATGATTCTGACGGTGTATGTAACT